GCTCAGGTCATGATCCCAGGGTCCTGGGATCGAGCCCCGCATCGGGCTCCCTGCTCAGCAGGAAGCCTGCTTCTCCCACTCCCACTCCCCCTGCTTGCGTTCCCTCTCTCGCTGTCTAACAAATAAATAAAATCTTTTTTAAAAAAGATTTTATTTACTTATTTGGTAGAGAGAGAGGACAAGCAGGGGGAGCAGCAGGCAGAAGGAGAGGGAGAAGCAGGCTTCCTGCTGAGCAGGGAGCCCGATGTGGGGCTCGATCCCAGGACCCTGAGATCATGATCTAAGCTGAAGGCAGACACTTAACCGACTGAGTCACCCAGGTGCCCCAGATTATCACCATTCTTGATTATTATGAGGCCTGTTATTTTCCTGAGGGAGGAAGGAAGGTTACCATCCGTGTGTTTTGGAACAAGGGAGACAGCACTTTTGAGACATCACTTCCTGTACAGACCAGAGCCAGGCCCTTTACAAAACTAGGTCTTCAAAGAGAAACAAGTAACCTCTTGTCCTTGGCCTGACCTCACCAGAGAGGGGCTGGGCAAAACTGGCTTTCTTCAAGATCAAATGTACAAGAGAGCTACCTCTAAGTATTTTGATTGAATTCTCTTACCACAAAGACTGTGGTACAGATTTCACCCTGGGTTTTAGCTATTAGGATGATTTCTGATCCTAATCAGAACACTTGCAGAAACCAAAAAAATCTAAACATATTAGCCATCTCCTTTGGATTTCACTTTCCATTAAAAGCTCAAAGTGTTGGCTCAAAAAATGACCCCAACCAAAGTCCTACATAAGCGGCACAAACTCAAATGCCTACCAGATGCCAGGCAAATAAAGCAAAGCCCACTGTAAGTAAACAAGGAGTAATGGAGTCTGTAATGAACTATCGTAAATTAACAATTGCTTCTCAGTTCCAACCACCAGTTGCTTTGTGGGAATGTGAGTTAAAAGTTAACAGATCTTCCTGTAAAAAAAAAAAACTGGAAATCTGCATTTTTTAAATGTGAAATCTGGTTTTAAATAGCTAATAATTCAAACTTGCAAGGCTGTTGCAAGCCATGGATACCCAGTCAGAGTTTGACTTTTCTTTATGGAGGTCTCCTGTGCCATATCAGAGAATGATAGCTAATTTGCCACTTTCAACTCAAATGTGGTGGAAGATTTATGCTTTTTCTTGGTGAATCTGGATATTGCTGGAGAAGTGGAAAAACTCCATGAGTTAATATAATGTGCCGTAGCTAGGGGTTTGGGCTTATCTGTTTCAGAAGGTAACTGGATAAATGTTTCCCACTTTGGGAAGTATTTAGTGGGGAATAAACATCCCCTTTGCTAGGTATTTGGGCAAATAGATCTTCTCTTGAGGGTCTGGGAAACCCTTATGTATACTTCAAGTATGGGGAGGGGGCAATAACCTCGGGGAGTATCGGGAGAACTGTTTACAAGAAAGTATGAGGATAGACAGGTATTAGTGGGAAGTACACAGAGCTGTACGAATGTCAGGTAGTACGGGGTTAGTCTCTTCTGTGTTGGAAGGGAGAAAATGGCAATAACCTCTCCTCCGGCGCCACCTTCGGGCGCTTCTTGCTCACCATTGCCGTGCAGCCGTCAACTCCAGCGTTCTCCATCTTAACGCTTTCTGCGCAGGCGCCCTAGAGCCCCAGGTTTGGGCCTAGAGCAGAGCCCCGCCTCTGACCACGCCCCTCCCCACAAGCCCACCTCCAACCACATCTCTTTCCTCAGGAGCCCGCCAACCGCCCCACCCTGCCTTGGTTTCCCGAAGGGCTCCTGCAGCTGTTGGTCTGGCTCTAAGTACCTGAGCGCCCTCTGTGCCGGCTGCTGGGGAACACAGATGAAATACTCAGACCCTGCCTTTGGGTGGATCACAGACTTTTGAGGAAGACAAACAAGTAAATTGTAACAATGTAAAGTGCTGTTGTGAAGGGGTTCAGGGTTGGTTGGGTCCTAAAGGCTGCCACTAAGTATCAGAACCTAGAAGGCCATGAAAAAGCCTGCAGGCCATTCCAGCAAGGGGGAACAGAATGTGCCAAGGCACAGAGGGGTAGGAGTGCACAGTGTGTGTATGGGGTTGTAACTTCAGGGAAGTGCTTTAGAATAGCTACAGGATGGTAGGGGGATGTCTGCACTGTCTTGGAGGGTCTTAGAATTTCAGCCCGAAGGCTATGATAGATAACCACTGAATAGTTTTAACAGGAGAGAGACTTACCAGAGTATGTGAGGAAGGCAGGGGCAGAACAGAGGCAGGTGATTATCACAGTAATACAGATAAGAGGAACTAAAAGCCACTATTCCACTTGTGGTACTGGGAACTGAGGTAAGACAATGGATTCAACAAGTTTAAGGCAGAAATGATAGAGGGCAAATGGCTTGGGGAAGAAGGAGGAAATTTAAAAATGACTAGGGAACTTAATTGTAAGGATTTATTTAGCAAGCAAATGGAAATGAGGAACTGGAAAGCTGGAGTTAATCTCCTGTCTTGTGCTCCCACTCAGCTCCCACCCCACAAGGGCTAAGAAACTAGGTAAGCACTTTCTTGTGTCAGCTTCTCCGATGCCCGTTCCAAGAGGCCTCACTTTTACCTTGTTTCTTCCAATATAGGAGGAGACTTTTTACTCCAGCTTTCCTTCCTTGAATTTTCCCAAATGAAAGGCCAATTTCTACTCCTAGGACTACTCCTCTGTCCTGTACATGACAGCCTCAGCCTTCTACCAATCCCCAGAGTCACACCCTTACTAGCACATGACATCTGGACTTTCTGCAGGAAGCTGATACCTTGGGTCCCATGACTCTGTTAACTGGATTGGTAGTCTCAGGTCAAGGCCAAGATGCTAACCCATTATCTGCTTTACCGCATGGTGCTTATCCAGAGCTGCTTTAGGTTCCATCACTTGTTGGGCGGACAAGGCAGTGGAGCGCCAGGTACAAAATTTACCGTTATACAGGATTATACAGGATAGTCATTTCTACAGCTTTCCACACCTTAACAGAATTACCAAACCCCAAAGGCTGCTATAAGATAATTTATTACAGACTAGCCAAAAATGTCCTGTAACAATGGCACATATGATAATTAACAACAGCAAAGACGCTTAGTTTCTGGTTACATGTAATGGCCAGTACAGCTGTGGATAACACAGAGTCCTCAGGAGGTCCAGGAGGCTGCTACCAAGGATATCCAAGAACCATGTCACATCTCTGATCAAGGGCCTGAGAAGTCCATACAACCTCCTAAAAGAGTTTGTCTCTGACTTCCCGAGGAATGTTGATGCCGCCTCCATCCAGCCTATACAGAGGGACCATAGTCCAAGCTCCTTCTGCAGGGTTGAATATCTGTGAGGGGAACAGCAGCTGACCTAGATGAAGGGGAGTGAGGCCAAAGACTAGATTCTTTCCATAAAGGAGAGGACAACCAGAAGGCAGTAGCCATAGGTGAGGAGGACTCCTTCTAGACTGGTTTCTACAATTTTTGGCTTTGTTCAGAGCCTATCCAAGAAGAAAATACAGCCCTCTCTTCTGGATCCTTCAACTAGCCCTCAGGTGCATACACAAAGGAACAGCCTCTCATGTCCTGAAATATCATTGCTCCCCTTCCTACAGGAATGAGGGAGGGGGACTCCTGAGCAGGTGGCCTCTGGTGCTTGTGTTCCAAAGAATATTCTGCTCAGGGCTCTGAAGTATCATGTGAACCTCATTCTACTCATGACATATAATTTGGGGGAAAAGATTAGCACAGCTCATTTCTAGAAGGTATCTTGTTCAGTCTCAAAGCCTTGTTTTCATGGAGCCACACAAAACCAGTGGATCCTGCTCAAGGGAGAGTCTAAATTCTATTCTGTATGTTCCTGCCCTGGCCATACTCCAATCCAGACTTTAGGGCTCAGCAACACCTGGAGGCTCAACTGACTATTTAGCTAACCAGGTACATGCTCCAAGCTCTCTAAACTTGTTCTTCTAATGGTTGATATGTACGGGTCTAGCTGGGTAAGATGTGGCATGGAGAGGGGTGGAGGTGGGGTGTGGGGTGAAGGAGTGTCTACCAAGAATGGCTGACACTCTCATAAATGTCTGTCCCTCCCTTTATGGAAAACCTCCTTATGCAGTAACCCCCACAGCCCAGCTCCTAGCACCACAGACCTGCTGGTCAGGGATTCATGACCCTTTCTGTGAAAAGCCATATTCTTATCACCCCAAATTTTTCCTTTAATTTCCTTAAACTGAAGGAGTCAGCCTCTCAACAAGCTGGCTACATAGTAACTCTCACTGGCTATGACTTGTGGAACTGATGCCATCTGGTTGGCACAGGAACCCAGGTGCTCAGCTCCCCTCTTCTATGGAACGAGACTCCGATTTGAGCTTCACAAACTCTCGAGCCACTTCGTCATTGCTTCTCTGAGATAGAATCCGGAGAATAGTCATGCCTGTCTCATCCATGTGGATCTTCCGGCCCAAGGGGCACCAGCAAGCACAGCTGCCTTTGGCTGCCACATCCCTCAGAGGCATCACAGCCAGCCCCAGAACACGATCCTCACGGGCAAAGCAGTAATCCTTCACACATATTTGCAATTCATAGGCTTCTGGTCCCTCTTCATTTCCCAGGAGGCTGTGAGCACAAGGTGGATGAAAGGGAGGAGGCCAGAGCTGAAAGAATCTTCAACTGAATTCACCCCAGCCACCATCCAACCCATCCCTCCTTTCCCCTCTCAAGTCTTACGCCCCTGCTCATCCCCATCCCAGAGTCCTGCAGGTTCCCTACCCCATAACTCACAAGTGAAATGTCTCATTGTACTTGGGAGCCCAGTTGTTGCTCTTTGATTTCGTTGTGAACTTCCTCTTCTTGTCACTTTGGTGTGGGCCAATCATGGTCACTTCCACAAAGGGCCGGAACATACCCGCTGTCTGCCATTTGAGGTCATTGGCAGCTACCACTGCCCAAACAAAGGAAGCCTGTGAGGGATCCCACCAAGTGTTCCCAGTTTTTTTTTTTTTTTTTAAAGATTTTATTTATTTATTTGAGAGAGAGAATGAGATAGAGAGAGCATGAGAGGGGGGAGGGTCAGAGGGAGAAGCAGACTCCCTGCTGAGCAGGGAGCCCGATGCGGGACTCGATCCCGGGACTCCAGGATCATGACCTGAGCCGAAGGCAGTCGCTCAACCAACTGAGCCACCCAGGCGCCCCAAGTGTTCCCAGTTTTTAAGCCCCCAGGTTGCATTCCCCTTGGAGGAGGGCTAAGTTGGAGGACTGAGATAAAGCAGCCCCTGCCTTCAACTGATGAGGCCACTGCATAAGAAAAGGTCTGAGACCTGTAAGTCTGTGCCACTCACCTTTCACTGTGACCTTGTGCTCCCCAGTTCCAGGATGTGTAAACAAGTCCACCTGAATAGAGACTTCTCCCACAGGATCATCCACACCAGACCCTGAAGGACAGATAGACAGTTGATCCCTCACTGAAGAACTCTTAAGACTTCAGGCCTAATTATCCCAGGTAAAACTGAGGAGTTAGGAGGCCACCACCTTACACCCTAAAGCCTGAAGCAATCACCCAAAGTAGCCATGGGGTGAAGGGAAGTAAGCAATGGGAGAAGGAAAAGCTAGGGGATAAAGAATGAAGCTGTGTATTAAAATACATTAGGCTGACAACATCTCCGGTGAAATGTTCCAAAAATGCACCAGGAATCTCTCAGGTTCCTCAAACCTCTCTTATCTCCTAGGCTGAAGAATTTTTCATTGAAAGACATTAGAGAGAAGGACAGTACTGCCACCTTGTATCTTTGTCTGGGAATTATGTCCACCCCATGGTGTCTCAATGGAACAATGTGGGTCCCTTCTAGCCAAAGGTAATACTCTCTACTCTCCCACTTATCCTCAGATTCCAGGAGGCCCCTGGTTGGGAGGCTGCCCTGCTCAGACTTTGTCCTATTCACACATGGACCTCTCTACCAGCGACTTCCCAGTCCCAATCTCTGGCCAGTTTTTTTGTTTTTGTTTTTTAAGATTTTATTTATTTATTTGACAGAGAGAGACACAGCATGAGAGGGAACACAAGCAGGGGGAGTGGGAGAGGGAGAGGGAGAAGCAGGCCTCTTGTGGAGCAGGGTACCCAATGCGGGGCTCGATCCCAGGACCCTGGGATCACGACCCGAGCCGAAGGCAGACGCCTAACCACTGAGCCACCCAGGCACCCCTCTCTGGCCAATTTGTAGGCTCCCTTCAGTAGAGGTCTCACTATTTTGGGAAAATACCAGTACCCTGCACCCCAGGTAAAACTTTGTCCTCAAGTGGAGGGGTGGGGGAATCCTGAGGATAGAACTACTGTCAACCCCATCTCAGACTGTATGAATACATTGCTCATCTCTGAGACTTGGGATAAAGCTTCTGGACTTTGACACATAGCTCCCCTACCGCCAGCCTAAGCAGCTCATTCTAGTTCATAGGGAACAGTGTTAGCTTATGTTAGATTCACGTGTGCAAGGTATACAACATACCCTTTTCCGGCCGAATGTCCTCATTAGCTGTAAACCTAATACCTTTCCCATCATGCACTGAGTGAGAACAGGCAAGTCAAGAAGTAGTAGCAGCAGCAGGACAGAGAAAGAAGAATCAGTTAGAGGTCTAAGGAATTAACAGCCATTCGGAGCAACTCTACACATATTTTGATGGAGCACAGAGATGAGGTGAAGAGAGGTCAAAGAGCTGGGGTCAATGCCCCAATGCTCCAAATTAGACTTCATGGGTCAGAGGTCAACCAGATCATTGGGGAAAAGCAAAAGAACATACAGAGAGAAGGTATTTGAGACCATCAGGCCAGGAAAGAGAGCCATTGTAGGCTCTAATTTCCTAGGCCTTAACTGATAAAGCAATGGGTACAAAAGGTACACACACACACTCGGATCCTCCCTGCAGTATCCACCCTTCCTCTTACCACATATATGCCCATTTCAGCCTTTCCTCATCTTTACTTCTAGCCTGAAGCTCAGGATTTCTAAAAAGCCTTTCTGGATTAACTCAGATCCTCCCCTGGATGTTACAGGTCTTTCCATGTACAGCTCTGTAAAAGATCTCCCTGTTCCCTTGGGCAAGGTTCATAACTTCTTTGCTCTCTCTTCTTCCCATCCTGGACTTGAAATAAGAACAGATGTGGGAAGAAAAAAAAGAACAGATGTGGAAAATGGAGCAAGTCCCTTGCATCTTTTCACCTTCCATCAACTCTAGTCTAACTGCTTAGATCCCTCTTCCCCTTGAGGTCAGCTCTGTGCTCTGAATCCACAGCTCAGGAAGGCCTAAATCCTCCCACTCTCGCCATCAGATTCATTCTTCCAGGCATCACACCTGGGTTTCCCCAGAAGAAGAAATAACAAATGTGCCTGAAAGTCTTTCCTGGGAAGGCCCTGCTCCAGGGCTAGGGGCAAAATTTCACAGGGCCCGGGGCAGAATTTCAGTCTGAACCATATCTAGATGGATGTGTTTTGTTATAGAGAGGCCTAAGACAGGGAGGGGTTCTAGGGACTGGAAGTCCCTGGGAGAAAACCATCTGCCTGGGTCCCTATGCATTAGCATCACCCATGAGGCTGGAACCTCAGATATGCACAGAGCCCCATGATCCATATCCTCTCTTCAACTGCTCCCATAGTTTGACTCTCCTAGTCTTTTTCGTCATCCACACCAGACAATCTGTAGTCTTTTGCTTTCTCTCCCCAGGACAACTTCCAACAAGATTCCCAAAGCTATGAGTTTTCATCAGTGTCTCAACCACTCATTCTCAAGGCTTCCTGACAGATACTTCCTAACAGACAGGGTACACTCCTTGATAAACATGCACTAGCAGGGCAATATCTGGGAAAAGGATCTCTGGCACATTTCCCAGGTCCCTGTGATTTTCCTGTCTGGTATGGGTATGGTGTCGGGATGAGTATTGAGGTCCCTCAAGAAATCCTGGGATCTGAATTTGATAGGCTCTCTGAAGAAGTACCTAGATCCTCCTTAAGGGCTGGAAGATATTGACTCCCTAGAGGCAGAAATGTATGAAGGAGTGGAGATAGGGACCCAAAGTTCTTAGGCCTTACCCTGGGCAGTCTGTGAGCGCACAAAGGTTTTGATGAGTGTGTCTGTGGTCTGTGTGTACAGAGATAGGGCATAGCGTAGGGACTGCAGATCTGGGCTCTTCTCCAGGAAGGTTTTCTTCAGCCCATTACCTCCAGCATGAAAGTATTGCTGAAAGACAAAAGAATACCTGCTACAGCCTTCTCCCCTTACAGAGAGGCAGCTTTCTACACTGTCCTCAGAGAAATCACATCTGAGCAGAAGCTCAGTGAAGATGCCAAAAGAGGATGATGAGGACAATAAGCCATTCAATAAACAACAAGATCAGGAATACCACGTAGAGTCACAATCTCTCAGGTGAAGAGTATTATTTGGGTAGGAGCAGTAAGGGATGGCCACATTCCTGGATGCAGGTCTGTGAAGTATGGATCTATCCAGACAAGCAAAGATATGGAATAGAAGCATTTCAGAGAGAGTAGCCAGAAGTGCTCTTTTACCCCTCTGAACTCTTAGAGAACATTATACTTATGACAAATCTCTTCCAAGTGCCCTGCATCACGGTTCATGTGTACCTGCCTTATTACAGCCTTACCAAATTATAAGCATCTTAAAGCTAGGAACTATATCTGATTCTCTCTGTATCCTTCATAGTGCACAGTGCCATGTGCATATGTTGCCTGGTTGAGTGAAGGAATGGGTAGTAGAAAACCCAAATGAATTTATATATAAGTGGGAGAGGGAAATTTCTGCTAGATCTGGGGTATGAGGAACTAAGTAAACTGAACTGTACTCAAAACCCAGGAATAAGTGCTCTGGGTCTGTGGTTAAGTCATCTGAGATCATAAAGGAGGTAACTTTTGGTTGCTCCCAAGCAGAAACATGGACATAGCAGAGAAAGAAACAGACATAAAAAATCACTCCCTTCTGGATGTGGGGTGGCAAGAGCCCAGGGGACATCAGTCTGGCAGAGTGGAATGCCAGGGCCACGAGGTAGTGTGACTGAGGTAGGGTAGTATGACTGTCTGGAGAAGGGGGAGGTCTCCACCTTGATGGTGTCCAGAGCAAGGTCAAGGATGGCACACTGCTTTGGAGTGAGACTCCGGGTTTCCTCTCGTACCATGTGGTCCTAGAAACCCAGAGAAAGCAACAGCATCAGGACAGCTTGGGGCTGTCATGACAGTCTTTCCCCCACCCGCCAACTCACACTACACGTTCCTCTCATTCTCTTCCTCTTCTGTCTCCAAAGCTCAAATTTCCTCCCCCCTGGCACCCTGTCACCCCCAGCCTCAGAAGGATCCCATACATCCACAGTACCTTGAGTTTGGAAAGATGGCTCAGCTCCTTGGCAGCAGTGAAGATCAGCTGGGTGCCCTGGGCAGAGAGGGGATCGGTCAAAAGCAGAGGACTCCAAACTCGATCAGGAAGTGTGGGGCAAGACAGGGGAGACAGCCAGAGGAAGTGGAAGGGGAGTGTCCTTACCGTCTGGTCAGTGAGTGGGGGTAGAACAATCATCCTTTCCATTGTGTTCATTACCACTCGCCAGAGCTCCTTCAGTACACGCTTCAGGACTGTCTTCTCACACACAGTGGCAAAGAGTGTGAGGCTGTAGGCCCACGTAACAGGTAAGACTAGAGTGAGTTTGAGAGCCCCCTTCCCTGAGAGGCTTCTCCATCTGACTGCCTCTGCTTTGCCTATCCCATAGGACAGTCAAGTGCTGTACTCACTTGCCATCCAGGAAGTCCATGAGAGGCCGGAGCACACTATCTGCATCCTGAGCCACCGAGGCCCTGGCGTTGGGGGATGCATTCCCTGGGCCCCGCACCTGGCCCAGGATGTCAGCCATTTGTCGAACACACTCATCAATCCGCACCTGAAAACTACACATGTGCCCACAGTGCAGCCCTCCCCTGCCCAAACAGACACTGTCCTTGGAGCAGCACCAGCTATTCAGTCCCACTCCAGCATACTCCTGGTGCAGCTCCAACAGGAACAGCCAACAGGAGGAGAGGGAAGATCCACACACCTGCAGCTGGATGGAGGGTATGGGGCACGGGCTTTGCGATTGGCCAGGGGCCACACCTGGCTCTGACGGCTGTGTGTTTGGGGCCACTGACCTGTTTCCAAATACCATGCTGAGCTCATCCAGAACTGTATTCAGTTTCACCTGCAGCTCCTTCAAACTGTCTGCAGCTTCAGGGTCCAACTATATCCACAGAAAGTGTGCTCAGCTGAGCTGGTTTTTGTACACTTTTCTCCCCTCCTGTGCCCCTAACTCCTCCCTCAGAGGGCCTTTACCCCAATGCCTACTTAAATCCCTCAGCTTAAACCAGCCCAGACCCTAAGCTAAATTGCTATGTATACCCAGTCAGGAGAGGATAGAGTTCTACGGCCAGGGGGCTCAGGAACAAAGGGAAAGTGTAGCAACCCCACACCCTGAGACCTACCTCCTTGCCTCCCATGGCCTCAAACATTTTCTCCAGCTGGACCCTCAGTTGCTGCGTGTTGTTCATCAGGATGCAGGGCTTTGGGGACAGATGGAGCCATTGAGTCTTGACTCCTTTCAGCATAGGACCTGTCAGCCTAGGGTACCTCTCTCAACACTACTCCAAAAACCACAGGGAATTTACAACACATATTATACGGATCTCTTCCTAAGCACTGAGATCTGGAACCAATTTAGACAGTTCTCCTTGAATGAAGACTAGAAACAAATGTTTCTGTTTTTAAGCTGGGTGGTGGGCCTCAGGTGTTCATGGTATTATCCTTTTAACTCTTTGAATGTCTTAATTTTTTTTTATTAAAAAAGAAAGATTAAGTAAAGCTCTAGCTTAGTAGAAAATAAAAGTACCAAAATGGAGGCTCAGAGGAACTCCTAATCATTAAGTTCTTATTATTTTGTGTCATAATCTCAAGAGAAGCCCTACTGGGAATCAAGTAAGGAGCACCACCCCCACCCTCAGCTCTGAGGATAGCCTCAAAAGCAAGGATTCAAATGTCTTCCACTCTCTTCTCTAGGGTCCCAGGGCCTGACCCTCACCATTTTCTCCTTTGTGCAGTAATCTGGGAAGCTCTTTGATAAGATGTTTGCATACTGCATCAGCACCTTCCCGATAGTCTGAAAAAAAAAAAAAAAGAAAAGGAAAGGAAAGGGAACCCTTAGCTCTCCCTACAGGGATCTTGCCTGAGGTCATATTTGTCATTCCAGAACAACAACAACAGGGAGGTACAGGGGAATCTCACAGTAAGGGACAAAGCTCCCTCTCAACCTCAGAACAACACCAAGATAAACCCACCAGTCTGCCCCAGACACAAACAAATGAGAATGGGGTGATGCCAGACTTGAGGTCACCACAAAGAGGAATTGAGCTCGGGCCTGTGATGAGGCTGTGAGCATGGTAAAGGCAAATGGAAGGGAGAAGGGAGGGTCATGGTCACCTTAGCAAATCTCCTCATGTAGTGGGCAAGGATGTTGGGGTCTGGGCATTCCAGCTTCCGGATGATCTCAAAGCTCTGGTTGAGCTGTGTGAAGACATCCACCACAGAGCAGGAAAAGAGTGCATGTTCTGATGTCTGCTGGAACTACGGAAGGCCAACAACAGGATCATCATCTTCAGCCACTACCTTTTCCCAAGTGTATAGGGTTCAAAAGGGCTCTGCCCAGCAGTTGTGGCTCTCTGACCCTCAAAAGTCCTCCTTATGAATTCCACAGGGAAGAAACTAAAGCCCTGGAACTTTTGCTGGCAGCTAATTGCTGGGACACCTGGCCTGACCCCTGTGCAATCCAAGCCTCCAACTTACCCCATCCTTCTTATCTCGTTCCAGGGCCCCACGCAGGAATTCCAGGGACACATCCTCATTTTCATTCAGCCACTGCAGGACGAACTGCTCAAACCACCTACAGCCAGGCAGGAGAATTGGGGGTTGGAGCCAGTGGTTGGCATATGCCATGTGCCTAACAGCTCCCCCAGACTAGGGTCTTTGGGAAGATAGGGCACAGTTTGATGTTTTCTCTTTCTACAACAGAGCCCAGAACTGACAGTCTCAAGACTTGCTTGCTAAACTGAATTGAGGACACAGGTCCTGCCCACCCCCTAAGATGGAGGGACCCCCTTCCCTTCCCTGTGTAGTGCCCACATGATGACTCACACTGGGTACTCAGGCACCTGCCCCTGGAGGGCAGGCAGATCTCGCACATATTCATTGTGGAGCCACTTCACCTTGAAGTGTAGGTTCATGTAGTCAGCACTCTTACACAGCCGGTCTTTCTCATGCTCTAGTGGTGGGGAAGGAGGCTGAGTCAGGTCCCAGCAGTAGAGGCCACGGTTTCTGAGCTTTCCCAAAGCAGCAGATCTGGTCAGGCAGCTCTATCAGATGTCTTAGAACAAGGGTGACTCCCAACCACTTCCTCACAACCATCTCCCCCTACCAGTACTCTGCTCTCCAAGAGCCTGGCCCAAATCTTCTTTTAGAGACTAAGCCAAACTCCCAGATAGGGTCAATAGTCTTCTTGCTCTATCTTCTGGAAGTGTCAACTGAGATACTGGCCTCTGGTGAAGAAGAGGAGAAAGGGATGTGGGTGCTAATGTTGATTAGTGGGGAGACTGCCCAGGACTAGAAAGGGATGTTGGTTTCCTAGGACTTCTCTAATCCTAGTAGCTGGGCCATTCCCTCAGATGGGCTTAGATGCAGTGATGAACAGCTATACACGGCATGAATGAGTCAATGACAACTACACAGAGACAGGGAAAACCAAAGTGGGCCCAAGCTGATAGAAAGGGCAGTTAAACAGCCAGAGTGTAACAGCATCTTGAGGTAAACTGAAGTGCCCCAGAACACAGTGGAGACACAGAAAATGAACTCTCCAAAAAGTATGCAAACATGAATAGTCAGTTTGGAAACACAGCCAGATGAAAGGGCTATCATGCTGTAAAAACTGGGATGCTTATTATGGACTTTTAAGGTCATCTAGCTGGATCTTCAGAACCTTCAGGAGAATCCAGGACAAACATCACCCCTGCCCAGAATGCCTGGAGCACTGGCTACAACCACAGGTCCTCTTCATCCACCCCTTTAATAGATAAAGCATTAATTTGAAATAACAAAAGCCAACTGTGTGCTTACATATAACAATGTAAAAAGCAGGTAAATGGGGAAGAGTACTGAGCGACAGAGAAAGGAAGGTCAGGGTCCTTGTGACTCTCTACTGTTTAACTTTGAGTTGCTATGGGTGATGCTCCTCCACATCAAAACAGAAATCCAATCTGCAGCAGTTGGCCCTTGTGAATTAGTACAACAGACACTTGAGGAGGAAATAGGAGCCTGGGATTCAGCCTCAAAAGGCTCCCAGTCCCAGGAAATTTCATCTCCTGGAACAGCAGGCAGCACCACTTCTGGGGACATCAGAGAGACTTCTCAGGGCTTGCCCCTTTTCTTCCACCCCACACTCTGCTATCCTTAAACCAGTCCATGAACCTAGAGACATAAAAAGGTACCATGAGGAGGGCTCTCCTTCCTTCCTGTTAAGTAACCTACTAGAAGTGGAGACAGTACTGTTCCATCACTCCAAACTCCCTAACTGCTTTCTTCTAGGGACCTTTAAGTTACTGTATTTATATAATTCTCCCTTTCTGTCAATCCATTATCTGTACTCTGGTCCCAAACCTCAATTTCTATATTAACTTCTGTCATACAGAAACTAACAGGATGACTGCTGAAACACTGGTCACATTTTATTCTATCAAGTCCCATGGAGTCATGCTCCAGTAAAGTTGCTTGAGGTTGTTGTTGGGGGGTAGAAGTACAGGGATGATTAATCTCTCAAAAGGGGCAATCAAGTCTCTAAATCTTTCCCTGCCCCTGATTTCCACATTCTTCCTTCCATGCATCTTTCATCTTTGAAGAGTTCTTTCAACCTCATGATTTCAATTATCCAGCTTACTGCTATCTCCCCCAAATCTCTCTTTGGTTCTGGTACTAAGACTTTGATGGAACATCTCACTTGGCCAAAGTTTAACTCTAGTCCCCATCTTTCACCATTTAACATCTCCAGCTGAAGCTGAACAGAGTACACACACTAACCGTAGCCTCTTGCTCAATGCTGAGCATCATCCTCAAGTCTTCTTTCTTCCTCTTTATTCACATCCAGTTAAATCACCAATCCCTATTAATTTCACCTCCAAAATTTCTCTGGAATCTATCCATTTTACACAGTCATCTGCCTAGGTCTTGTTCCCACCACCTTTAACCTGGATTACTGTAATAGTCTCCAACCTGGTCTTCCCTCCTCCAAACCATTTTCCACACCATAGCCACAGTGAGTGGCCTTTCCACGTTATACACCCGATCTTGTCAATCCCTTGCTTAACATGGGATTGCTGTTCAGTGGCTCCAAACTGCCTTAGGATGGAGTCCAAAAGCTTAAACATGGCTTACCACCTCCTTTATGATTTGGCTGCCCTATTTTTCTATCTTCATCTCCTATTTATCTCTTCCCCCTACACTCTAACGTGCTAGTCACACTGAACTACTGCTTCCAGTTCCCCAAGCATGACAGCTCTTTCTAGACCCCACATCTCTGAACATACCATATCCTCTGCCTAAAATGTTCTAGGTCTCCTTTTCCCATCACTACTACCTCCCTTCCCCACTGGCTAAGTCCTCCCATCCTTTAGGTTTCAGTTAGTATATCACCTCCTCCAGGAAGTGTTCCCAGGTCCTTTCCTCAGGTCCTCCTAGAAGCCTTCCCAGGTGTGGATTACACTGTTCTCCTCTCAGCACCTTATTCCTTTTGTGGCACTTATAACTTTGAACTGGAACTGCCAATTTATATGTCCGTTGTCTAGACTGGTGTGTGAGCTTCTCAAAGGGCTGGGTCTATGCCTCATTCATCTCACTGCAGTTCCAACAATTAGCACAGTGCCTGACATATAGAAAATACTTAAAAAGCACTTAGTGAATGGGCTGAGGATCTATTGCAAAAAGGCATGAAGAAACTCTGTTCTATATTTTAATTAGGATAGTGGTTACACAAGTGTGTATATTTGTCAAAATCATCAAATTATACTATTTTCAGAATTGGAGTCAACGCTATCCTTTTATCATCCAGGTCTCCAAACTCCTCGCCTTGTCTTGGCCTCCATATTCTGACAGTCATGAAGTCCTGTTACAACTTCCTTCCAGTGGCTATCAAAACCCATTCTTCCCTCTCCAATTCTCTGCTCTAACCCCATCCTCTCAGCCCTAAATTACTATAACATCATCTGTAGTCCCTGCTTCTAGTCTCTCCTTGTTCTAGATGCCCCATTTTCCCCTGAGGTGAAATCTTATAAAAATGCTGGGTGATAGGGGCGCCTGGGTGGCTCAGTTGGTTAAGCGACTGCCTTCGGCTCAGGTCATGATCCTGGAGGCCCTGGATCGAGTCCCACATCGGGCTCCCTGCTCAGCGAGGAGCCCGCTTCTCCCTCTAACCCTCCCCCCATCATGTACTCTCTCTCTCTCTCATTCTCGCTCTCTCAAATAAATAAATAAATCTTTAAAAAAAAAATGCTGGGTGATATACTCAACTAATGAATCAATGAACATTATATCAAAAACTAATGATGTACTATACCTTGGCTAACTGAATTTAAATTTAAAAAAAAAAATGCTACTTTGCAGGGTGCCTGGGTGACTCAGCTGGTTAAGTGTCTGACTCTTGGTTTTAGCTCAGGTCATATGACGATCTCAGGGTTGTGAGATGGAGCCCTCATAGGGCTCTGCATTGGGTGTGGAACCTGCTTAAGATTCTCTTTCTCTTTCTTCCTCTGCCCCTCCTCACCCATTCACAAGCTCTCAAGCTCTTGCTCTCACGTGCTCTCTCTCTCAAAAAAAAAAAAAAGCTACGATGCTCACACTGCCTCTCTGCTCCATGAGCCTATGGGGTTTCTTATTGTCCTTAATAAGATTTATTCAGTGCCGAGTAAATGCCAAGCAGTATGCTAAGTATGTTACACATTACTTTATCAGCTCAATGAAACAGATGCTATTATCACCCCATTTTACGGATAAGAAAATGCGAGCTCACAAAAATTGGCCTAAGAACACACTGCTGATTAGGTGGTGAAAGTGAGATTTGCAACCAGGTCAACATTCTTTCTTTCTTTAAAGCAGTTTTCAATCCTTTTGTGTTTGTTGTAAACATTAGTAGAACTCCCCTTTCAAAAGAAATCTCACCTAGAACCCCATATAAGATTGACAAAAGCAGAACTGACTTAACTGGCACCAGATGAAAGGCCTGAAGCCCAGCAACCCTCTCCCCCTACCTGGCTATTCCCTTTTCTCTTAGCTCCTAAGATACCTCTGTTTGAAAACCGCTGCCCCACCTCATACTATCCCTCTTGTGAAACTGATTCACTTTTCACAGGTATTTATCTTTTTTTCCCCCCAAAACCCATCAGAGCTGGGATTCTTCAAGAACTTGGACCATACTCCCCCCATTAGGCTTGCTGAGTGCTACCTGGAGAGGGGACAAGTGACTTCCTCACTGGCCTGTAAGGCTAAGCCCTGGGCTACAGCCCCAAGCTTGACCCAGTGTGGGAACGAGGCAGCCATTGCTCTGGGGCAGAATTACAGAATGTGCATGTACAGTCTCTGGCTGTCTCAAACTTAATACAGATCTTCAAGGTTTCTTTCAACCTCAAAACTTATTGCTCCTAAACCTCAGAAGTTTAAGTCTGAGGGTTACCCATTTTCCCTGCGACTCCATCAAAATAACAGATCCAGACTCTGATTTGTCCTTGCCCCAGACTGCTCCCTTTCCTTGTAGGTCCACTTGCACAAACTGAGGAGACAAACTAACATATATAAACAATAGGAAAGGCAGCTAAATAAGTGAACACAGAAGGGTACAAATGGGAAAGTTGGATACACGCAGACAGTGATATCTTTGTGAACCAAAGCAGGAAATGAATAAAAGAATAAGCTGAATGAACAAGATGAATAGTAATTTGTCCATGACATTGCTTTATAGGAGAAGGTAGGGAAGAAGTATCTTTCTGGCTCCAGAACAGCTTTTTAGGAAAGCCAGGTCAGGCAATCTCTAATAAAAGCAAATAATCTTATCTGTGTATTTAAGGTTCTACCATTCTTTAAAACTGTAAAGATAAACTTCACAAGACCATTCATACTCCAGGAAGTGGGCCAGTTGAGACTACCCAGAATGGGATGAGTTGATTTTTGGGCTACAGAAAGTCTTAAACAGGACTTGCTCTAAAGCTGGAAGGGGAAATCCACATCCACACAGCCATTTCCATTATTACTCTGGCTGAACCTCTGCCTACCTAAGGACTCCTGACACGTCAGCCTAGAATCCCTCTGGTTTCTCACCATACCATTCACCCAGAACTTATAATTGTCTGGGAGAGGAAAGGGACAGCAAACAAGGTGCTTGGACTAGAGGCCTACAGCCCACTGCCTTGGGCACACCCTTACCCTCCAGAGCATATTTCATGTCTTGGGCAAAGAGCTGCCACATCACTTCTGCGCTGACTTTTCCCACATTCAACTCCTGAGGAAACCTGGATGATGGAAAGAAGCCACAGTCAGAGAACAAAGCAAGAGCTATTTGATTTGACTGATTCCAAAGCTAATGTGCCTAATCTCTTAGAGGTCAGATTGAAGAGAGGAGAAGCCTAGGAAACAGGACTAGGCTCAATCTGGAGAAAAGGGACCCAGGAGCCAGTGGAAGGACAAGTGGGGGCAGAGGATCCCCTCAGGCAAGGTAGGCCCAGGGAAGAGGATGCCCAGAAGGCAGGGATTTGAGGCCCAGGGGAGAAGGGTTGAGGCTAGAAGGCAGGCCCAGGCTAAAGAAGGTGGATGAGAAAGTGCAAGGAGGTAGGCGTCAGAAAGCCCACTTTATTCACAGTGGACAGACACATACACACATGATCTCTGGATCCCCTGGGACTCCTATGGCAGCCATTCCCAGGGGCCTCTCACTCCAGGGAGGCTGGCTCAGTCTGGGCAGGGCCCCCCATTATGTTTGCACACCTGTCTCCAGAAAACAGTTACTCAGACAGATACAAGGGACAGAGGGACAGATGGACGTACAGGAGGAAGAGGTGGCACTGCAAACACACAGAGATAGGAAAGAAAGAGGCTGTTAGACAGATGGACAAGCCAACCACCAACCACACAGGGACAAGTGGGTTGATACGCACTGGTTCAGAACGAGTGTGTAGGAATTCTTATCTTCCTCTATGATTGACACAATGAGTGTGATGAGTTTGGGCCAAAAATCCAGGTTCCGAATGCTGGGTCCTTGTTCCTCTGGAGGTAGTTCCTGTTTCTTGTTCCAGAGGAGACAGTGAGAATCAGAGTAGAATATGGAGAATGTCTCCAGTCTTCCTCTTTCTCTTCCCCTCCCCATACCCCTTCCTTTAGAATCAGGTACGCTTCTTTTCCTAGAGCCTGTCTTCCACAAGACTGCCCATGTTCTGTCAGAGGGGTGACTGTTGGGAGGTCCTTATACACAAAAAGTCCATCCCAGAGAACTTCTCTCCCCAGCTCCAGGGCACTAATATGATAAGTTTGGTCAGTATAGGAGACATAAGGATGCCAGCCCCTCTTCTTCATTCTCTCAGTAGCTATGAGTATAGTGACTCCTCAGCCAAAGTAAGTTGCCCCTTCAGTGTTACTAAATAGGTCTAGTTCCATGTGACCCCCAATGGCAGTCTCCTCCAACACCTCCCCTACATCAACACACATGTACATATACATCTCAGCTCTGAGAAACTCCTTCAAGTTCTGCAGGAGTTACTGCACAGACCTAGCATGCAAGTGGGTCCAACCTTCAGTGGGTTAAGGACTTCCCTTAACCTCATGAATGCTATTAGGAGGAAGAACTGTTATCTAGGAAGCTATCTGCCTAGCTGTATAAGAAAAGGTCTTGATGAGACAAGAATACTCAATGGGGATAGGATAGTCTCTTCAATAAATGGTGTTGGGATAACTGGATATTCACATGCAAAAGAATGAACCTGGGCCCCTATATTATACTGCTCACAAAAACTAAGTCAAAATGGATTAAGGACTTAAATACAAGACTTGAAAACATAAAACTCCCAGAAGAAAACACAGGGGAAAAAGCTCCTTGACAATGGTCTTGGCAATGATTTTTTGGGTATGACACCAAAGTACAAACATCAAAAGCAAAAATCAACAAGTGGAACTACATCAAACTAAAAAATTTCTGTAGAGCAAAAGAAACAATCAACAAAATGAAAAGGCAACCTACAGAATGGGAGAGAACATTTGCCAACCCTCTATCTGGTAAGGGATTAATATCCAAAATATAAGGAATTAATATAACTCATTAGCAAACAAAAAAATCTGATTAAAAAATAGGTAGAAGACTTGAATAGCTCTTTCTCCAAAGAAGACATACAAATGTCCAGCAGCAAGGGATGCCTGGGTGGCTCAGTCGGTTAAGTCTGCGTTTGGCTCAGGTCATGATCTCAGGGTCCTGGGATCAAACCCTGAATCGGGCTCCCTGCTCAGCTCTCTCTCTCTCAAATAAATAAACAAACAACAACAAATGCCCAGCAAGTACACGAAGAAGTATTTAATATCACTAAACATCAGGAAAATGCAAATAAAAACCAAAAAGAGATGTCACCTCACACCTGTTAGAATGAGTATTTTCAAAAAGCTAAGAGATAACAAATGCTGGCCAGGATATGGAGAAAAGGGAATCCTGGTGCATTGCTGGCAGGAAATGTAAATTGGTACAGCCACTATGGAAAACATTATGGAGGTTCCACAAAAAATTAAAAAGAAAACTACCCTATGATCCAGCCTTCCCACTTCTAGGTATATATTCAAAGAAAATGAAGTAACTATCTCAAACATTTAATGGTACCTCCATGTTTATTATAGTATTATTCATAAAAGCCAAGACAGGGAAACAACCTAAGTATTTACCAGTGGATGAAAGGATAAAGAAAATGTGATATATAAATATACTGAATTATTACTCAGCCATGAAAAAGAAGGAAAGCCTGTCATTTGCGATAACAGGATGGACCTTGAGGGCATTATGCTAAATTAAATAAATCAGACAGAAAGAGACAAATACTGTACAATCTCACGTCTGTGTAAAATCTAAAAACATCAAACTCAGAAAGAGTGGAATGGTGTTTGGCAGGAGATGAGGGGTAGGGGAAATGGTGAGATGCTGGTCAACAGGTACAAACTTTCAGTTCAGATGAGTAAGTTCTGGGGATCTAAGGTACAGCAAGGTTGACTATAGCTAATAATACCATACTATATACTGGAAAGATGCTATGAGAGCAGAGCTTTAATGTTCTCACCATAACAACAAAAATGATAATTACGTGAGGTGCAGGCCTTACTGTGGTAAACATCTCACAATATACACTTGTATCAAATCATCACATTGCACACCTTAAGCATACACAATGTTATACATCAATTATATTCCAGTAAAGCTGGGGGAAGAAAAAAAGACTTGGTTGGGAAGAGGTAAAGGAATACAATGGTGAATCTCAGGAAAGGAGAAGCAGTTCTACATTCAGACCCTGGACAGGAGAAGAGGGGTCACTGCTGGAATGGACATTTATCTCACTGGGACAAAAGCAAAGTTAGAACCACCTAGAAGAAGAGGGATAGGACTTTTATGTGCGATGCCATATGTCATCACAGTCTTCACAGTCCTTAATAAGCCTGCATTACAAGGAAGTTACTAGAAACCAGGACAGAACCCACAGAATGTGGATTCTGCCTACTTAATATCACTTAAATACATCTCTTCCTTTAACTTTTTCTGCCACTACCTTATCCTTATCATTCAAGGGTCTCCTAACTGGTCTTTAATCTTTATTCTAGTCCTCTTCCACATAGTTGTTAGCGATCTTTCTGCAAGGAGACTCTCATAGCGTGACCCTCTGCCCTTCAATGGCCTTCAGTCAAGGCCTTCAATAAGTTTCAATTCCACCGCTTAACACAAAAGGCCTTCATAATATGACCTCTCTTCTCAACCCCACACCTTACCAATTCCCTTTCCTTGCAGCCATTACCTCCCCACTACCACCACTTATTTAGTGCTTATTAGGTGTCAGGCACCCTAAGAACTTTACATGGGTTATCTCATTTAATCCTCCTAACAACTCCACTGGGTAGAAATTATCATCACCTTAATTTGACAGAAGAGGAGACTGAAGGCAGTGAGGTTAAATGACTTGTCCAAGGTCTTATAGCTATAAAGAGTAGAACCAAGATCTGATCCCAGATAGCTGAACTCCAAAGCCTGACATTGTAACTACCCTAATTAAACTGCTTATATTTCGGGGCGCCTGGGCGGCTCAGTCGGTTAAGCGTCTGCCTTCAGCTCAGGTCATGATCCCAGAGTCCTGGGATCGAGCCTCGCGTCGGGCTCCCTGCTCAGTGGGAAGCCTGCTTCTCCCTCTCCCACTCCCCCTGCTTATGTTCCCTCTCTCACTGTCTCTCTCTCTCTGTCAAATAAATAAATAAAATCTTAAAAAAAAAATAAACTGCTTATATTTCTTCAAATTAACATACTCATTTACAATTTTGTACCTCCAAACATTCTACTACCTCTATATGGTATCCCTCTCTTCCCCAACCCCTTTCATTAACCAACTCCTGCTCATTCCTCAAAATTCAGGTTGAGCTTTACCTTTTCTTTTCTTTTTTTTTTTTTTAAAGATTTTATTTATTTATTTGACAGAGAGAGAGAGAGAGAGAGACAGGAGAGAGGGAACACAAGCAGGCGGAGTGGGAGAGGGAGAAGCAGGCTCTCCGGTGAGCAGGGAGCCCGATGCGGGGCTTGATCCCAGGACCCTGGGATCATGACCTGAGCCGAAGGCAGACGCTTAACGACTGAGCCACCCAGGCGCCCCTAGCTTTACCTTTTCTGAAAAGTTTTCCCTGATATCACTGGTCTGCTTAGATGCCTCTCTTGTAGGTTCCCAGAACACGCCCTATGAACCTTTGGCAACTACAATGAGATTCAGTAATAATAAATAATAATAATAAAAAAACCCAATAAAATAAATTAAAAAAAAAAATAAATCTAGTAATTTGTGCCACCTACCTCCACCAAATGATAAGCTCGCCAAAAACAGAGATGTGTCTTAATCAACTTCACATCCCTACATGTTCAGTTTGTTAAGGCAATAAATGGATGAATGAACCAATTACTGAAGGTGAGTAGAAAGAAAGAAAAAGATTCCAATGGTTTACCTCAGTGTAAATAACGAATAATGAGAAAATGAGAGTGAAAAAAAGTAAAAAACAGTTGGCAAAATTCAAAGGCTAAATAAAGTACCTGAATGGTTTATAAGCCCTCTTTCAAAGTCCAGGTTCATCTCATGCTAGGGAACAGAGACTAAATATTCAGATAGACCCCTGCATGGTTGAAAAATCAAAGCTGAGAACAGTGTCTTCTCCAACCAAAGAGAATCCACAGATGGATGACAGAGGAGCCCAGAGTGTGGTAAGCTAAACAAACAAAGCTAAACATGAGCTTCAGAACCAACGGGACATTTTATAAAACTTAAAAGGAGGAAGCCTTAAAGATATGGCTGGCACAAAAAGTGCATTTGGGAATGGGAGGAGGCAGTGTGAACAAGATTTTAGTCTTTAGTGAGGTACTCCTAGGAAGCATTACAAATTGGATGTATTCACCACAGGGCAAATGTCTAAGAGATTTAGGTTGTCCTCCCATCATTTGCTGTCCAAATCCTACTGCCTTTTAAGGTCTATGTCAAATGCCCTTGTTTTAGTAGCTTTTCCCAGTATCTGACTTCTTCCTTCTTGGAATACCTTCAATTTTACTGAGGTTTCAAGGCACTTCTCACAGACTGCTTTGATTAGAGTTCTATATATGCTTAGGAACTGCGAACTAATTGAAGGAGCACTATGCTTTCCTCAGACCTGACTCATTCAATACATATTTGTCGGACTAAAGGGAATCTATTCTGCAAATGTATGGTCTGCAAGAACCAAGAACCTCGGTGGCTCAGTCGTAAAGCGTCTGCCTCCGGCTCAGTTCATGATCCCAGCGTCCTGGGATCGAGCCTCACGTCAGGCTCCCTGCTCCGTGGGAAGCCTGCTTCTCCTCTCCCACTCCCCCTGCTTGTGTTCCCTCTCTTGCTGTGTCTCTATCAAACAAATAAATAAAATCTTTAAAAAAAAGAAAAGAATTGTTAAGACAGAAATTGTAAACTAGTAACTAGACCCAAAAAGAAGTCCTGGCTTTGAAATTAGAAAATAAAAGATACTATTGAAAGGCTCTAGAAAAATATACACAGTCACCAGGTAGTAGGTTAGGATGTCAGCATAAAACAAGTGAAGTAGCTCAGCCTCACAGAAGGGTAAGAGTCAGCCTTGACGGTCAGCTAATGAACAAATCTCAGAAGACCATGCTGTGCAGAGAGAAGTGTCAAAGGGAAAAGTTAAATTTCCACAAGCCGGTAATTCAGAGAGACAACTACGGATCTCAGAGGAAGGCAGCCTGGAACAAATAAACTTGGGAGAGAAAAGAGACTCTGAGATGGACTGAGAATTCACCTACTCACCCCCTAAAACTGCCCAAATTTTGGTCACTTAGATTAGCACCAAACTAAAATTTACTGTTGCCACTTCTGCTCAACTCAGTTATGTCACATCTTGTCCAATGGTCCCTATCAATCCACAAATGTCTCACGTGGTCTAGAAGGTCCTCACTCTACACTTTACTCACCCGCAAGAACATCAAGGACTTTGTCCTGAGCTCCCTTCCACCATAACCACAGTAAAGAAAAACTGAGGATCCAAGGGCCACTGACAGTGGTCCCAACTGATCCTGAACCTCTTACCAGCTGGTACTGGCGACTGTACAAGTCATGGCAGTTGTTGAAGATATATTCATATGTGGAGTTCAAACAGGCCTTCACACAATCCTTTACCACCTGGCTGGCTCTTGGAGGGCTCTGCAGTTCTTGCACCTGCCAATTAATAAAAGAAATATGGGCCCATGGTCCTGCTCACCTGAGTGGATCTCCTAGAATTCCCCTCAAACTATTCCAGATCCCAGCATCTCTCGATGGGTCCCTGCACCCTGCCCTAGGATGAAATTGCTAGGGTATCTGATTGGGAGAACTGCCCATCCCATCCCTGCTGATCCATGGTCTTCTCAGATGTAACCCAAGGAACAGGTGTATGGAAATGTGGGCTTAGAGGTGATGAATACTATAGCCTCAGATTGTGCCCAATGATCCTTATTCTCCCTGTTCCTGTGGCCAGGTGCCCAGTCCATCACCATCTAGCCCAGTTTATCTCTTACCTTCATTCTGAAGAAAGTAATGCTGGTCAGCAAATCCACTGTTGACTTCAAGTCCTGAAGCCGCTCAGGACTTCCAGCAGGAAAATTATTCTGTTGCAAATTAAGCAAATTTAAGAAAGGAAAAGAGATGGGCGCCTGGGTGGCTCAGTCGTTAAGCATCTGCCTTCGGCTCAGGTCATGATCCCAGGGTCCTGGGATCGAGCCCCGCATCAGGCTCCCTGCTTGGCGGGAAGCCTGCTTCTCCCTCTCCCACTCCCCCTGCTTGTGTTCCCTCTCTCACTGTGTCTCTCTCTGTCAAATAAATAAATAAAATATTTAAAAAAAAAAAAAAAAGAAAAAGAAAGGAAAAGAGAAATATGAAAGCCTTCCCTGCCAAAAGCAATGAAATAAAAAGCTTCCTTAACTACTACCCACTGGGATTTTCCCCAGTTGAGCTGAACAAAAAAGCTGTAAAACTACAGGTCTCCCCTCTCTTTTCTACTGACAAAGACAGGCTCTTGTCAAAAGCAGGGGTTAATAATCCCCAGCCTGGCAAGCAACACCAACCCTACTTCCCATGCAATGTGTAAGCATTTGCACAAATGAACACACAGACACAAACACACACAATTGTATACACACATTTTTCTTGGGTGAAGATTCTTACACCTAAACAGTGAGTTCTTCAAAAGTTACAATGTAACTGTATATTCTGGAATATAAGTGGAGCCACACTACAGACCAGACTTAGATCAAGGATATATACTTTCTGCGCAAGGGACCTCAACTATTCCACATTCCTTCCAGAGCCAGAAGATGGCAGAGCTCTGAGCAGAACTGCTTTGGAGTGACTTTCTTAGGACCTTCCCACCATGCCTCACTTCATTCCCCTTGGCATGAGTTTTAGGAGGAAGCTGCCAAGGAGAGCTGAAGGGAGATGTTGAGCCACTCTCCATTTTAAGGGTTGCTTTTTTAAACCTTCAAATGGCTACTTACATGCCAAATATAAGATATACTGTCAACTCTCCATTATTCATGCAAATGGAGGGCACTGAAATTGCAGATAATTAAAACTCCACTTCTTTTTGACTTTGAGGTTATTTTTATACTTACTTTTTAATGTGGGTATACTGCCTGTTCTGGAAATTCACAACACTTTAAAGCAAGTAACAAAGCCATTCTGAGAAGATCTGACTTAGGAAGAATTGGGAAACTGCCCATTTTCCTATCCTGCCCTGTCCCTGGTACCCCCTCTCCTAGTATATCTATTTCCTCCCTCCATTCTAGGAATGGACATGACCCTTGCTACAAATCAACTGCCCAAGCCAAGCTCCTCTTTCTCTCCCCTTAGCCAGATTCTCATACCTCCCGTGAAAAATAAGAAGAATATGAAAAATACAAAAAAGAAATATAAGTATCTAATTTTTAAAGGGGCATTTCTGGAAGAGATTATCAACCCTAATGAGAATGTCATCAGAGGATTTGACAGAGTGACATCAGTATGGTTGGAAAGCCAACTGCCTATAAAAAAACAGCCACACCTGCTATTTACACACTGCATGGTCTTTGGGAGTTTGGAGAACCACAGATGTCAGTGGCACTGGCATGTACGTAGGTGTGATGACAGGGACCAATTTTCCTTGCCTTTAATCTTTATAGCCAAGATTGGACTACAGGCTCTCTAGACAGAGCTTGATATTATCTGTTATTCCATCTCACAGTCATGTCTTCACTCACCCTGTAGGTAGAGAGGTCAATCCTCAGTGAGTTGTGCAGCTGGTCCAGTAGTTTTACAAATCTCTCTTTCTAAGGGTAGGAAACAACAGGGAAGAAAGAAATAATGAGTTCCCTAGACTGTAGCAGAAACAGAACCATCTCTGGGTGAGGAGGAGACACTGGTTTAGGGACACATCCTATCTCATCCCTGCCCATGAGAACGAACAATGTAACGGAGGACTGGAATAGGTGGCCCCTGTTCCATCTCTTAGTGGCTCTGTCTCAAACTGGGGAATTTTCTTACACTGGCAAGGGGACACAAAGTCCCCGGGAGAGAAACAGCTCTTTCTATATAAGAGTCAACAGGAGATGACCCATGCATCTCCATCCCTTTGGGACTCTAACTCCTCTTAGTCAAATAAAAGGAAACTCAAAACACATTCTCCAACTTGTTCCTGAGTCTATGGTCTCCTGACTTACCTTCAGGCAGCTCTTAACAGTTAAACAGCCACAGCATACCAGTAAGGATAAGAGGGAGAAACTGATTCATTTGGAAGGTGATCAAGCAGACCTGAGAGGGTTTCTCTTTCAACCATGTTCCATATCATTTTCCTTAGTTTACACTTGTTTAATGTTAAAATAAATAACATACACTATTTATTTGTATTTTATATGATTTTTTAATAAATATATACTGTATTATTTGTTTCAGGGGTACAGGTCTGTGATTCATCAGTCTTACAGAACACCCAGTGCTCACCACACTATTTTAGTAGTTGATTTTTATAGAAAAGGTAAAATTAAATGTGGAATCACATGCCTATAGGCTGTTGGTATAGCACTCCTAGAATTCATACACTGATTGTATGATAGATCATTAGGTCTTACATAAATATATATAATGGGATGAGATAATGGAACACATATTTGAGTGGCTTAATCAATGATGTTAATTAATCTACAGAAAGACTCTATCAAAATCAGGGAAGATGGTTACTTCCAAAAACAGAGCTCAGAGACCCAGATTTGGGAGTAGCCTCAGTAATGTTATTCCTTAAGAGGTAATCTTTGTGGTTGGTCAAAGATATTTCATTCGGTTTACATTGAACTTGTGTCAGGTGACATTCTGAATAAAGATTCAACTTCTCAAGTAACTTAAAACCAGGAAAGGGCACATCCTGGATAGGGTAAACAGTCCAAACACTAGAAAAGGGATAGGCTCAGGAATATATTGGTATCTTCACTTAGACATCAGTCGCATATGAACTTGAGTGGTATGAGTCAGAGAGAAACAAAATATTAAGAAAGGTCTACTTGTGGACTTGCAGGACTAAGGAACATGGTGACTCAACCAAGTTCTTGGCCTAGACAGGTTCTGCCTCAGCCCAGGTGGTACCCCTGAAACCACAGCGATGCTATTCCACTTTCTCTCATGTATCCATGTCTGAGGAGAGTCCATCAGTAAGTCTACCTATCCATAATGAAATAAGGAAGAGTCTCTTAGCATAGTCTACACACCCATAAGGAAACAAGTTCATCTAAGTGGCAGCTCTCTGAATTTTAGGCATATTAAACAACTCTATAGTGCCTACTGGGAAAAATCAAACTTTATTAACTGATAACAAATGAGTAGGTATGTTTTTACATCACACTCACCCCAAAGTTGGAGGCTGCAAAGCGATCAGATGCAGAGACATTGGTGGAGGCAGTTGTGTGGGCATAGTAGGCATTGATATTGGCCAGTAAGGTGCTCATCACTGCTGGCACACCAGGACACATGTACTTGGATGACAAACATGCAAAGTGCCTGAAAAATAGCATCCTCAGCCTCAAAGACTCTTCAGGGCTTGCAGCAAAAACTAAGTAATTAAAAGAGCTCATTGGTGTGTATGAAGCTTCCCATCACCTTGGCATACAAGGATCTTCACAATTGATTCATTCAAATATACATTCAATGAATGCCTACCATGTGCCAGGCCCTGTTCTAGGTGCTAGAATCGAAAGATGTGATAGCCTGGCAGAGAAAGGAAGTGTTAGAAAGTCAATAAGCAAAGGCATGCTAGGCAAAACCACTGTAGAAACATACAAGAAGATCACCTTAATCAGAATGGTTGGGGGCTGAAAGGGATTAGAATAAGATTTCTCAAAGAGGAGATGGCTGAACCAAGTCTTAAAGAATTAGTAGAATTAATCAAATGGAGAAGTGTGCAGGCAAAGGAAAATTGCATTGCAAAAGACAAATATATTCATGATAGACTGATTCATTTGGGAAACCTCAGTTATGGCCACTGTTCAGCTATTTGATCGAGGAATACCAAGAAATGAGAGAAGAGAAGTAAGCACAGAATAGTTAATAGAAGAGTTTATCCTCAATACCATAGTAAATTTTAACATAAAGGCACAGTGTGATCAGCTTAGTCTTTCAGAAAGTTCCCTTTGATGATAAATTGGAAAAGAAGGCCTGGAGAGAGATGAGACAAGGACGGAAAGAGCAGTTGAAGAGTTACTGCAATCATTCAGAAAAGAAGCAATGAAGCACTAAATGGAACAGAGAAATGGCTAAGAATGTAGATTCTAGGGGCGCCTGGGTGGCTCAGTTGGTTGGGCATCTGCCTTTGGCTCAGGTCATGATCTCAGGGTCCTGGGATTGAGCCCTGCATCGGGCTCCCTGCTCAGCGAGGAGCCTCCTTCTCCCTCTTCCCCTGCTCGTGCTCTCTCGCGCGTGCGCTCTCTCTCTCTTTCAAACAAATAAATAAAATCTTAAAAAAAAAAAAGAATATAGATTCTAGAGCAAGACTGGTTTTGACTCACAGCTCCACCACTTACTCAGTGACTTTGGATAAATTACTTAAGCTTCGCTATGCCTGTTTTCTTACCTAAAATGGGAAAGATAATGATACCCCCTCACAGGGGTAATATGAGAATTAAATGAGTTAAAATTCATCAGGTGCTTAGACCAGTGCCTGGGACATAAGGAAATGCACAAGGGAGTTGTTGTTATTATTATCATTATTATTGTGCTATAGTAATAGTGATAGGTTAAAAACATTTTTAGGAGATAGAATCCAGGTTTTAGAGTTTGGATGTGGGGATTTAAAGGGACAGTAGTAATTAAGAAAGAAAAGTTTATGCCAACTCCTAAATTTGTGTGGATACCTGCCTAGAAAATTGTTCCATTTACTAAAATAGGAAATATAGGAAGATATCACATATTTGGTGGAGATGATGTTGATCTGGAATTTAGCATACTGAGGAAGCACAAGACAATGGATCTGAAATTCAGGAAAAGGTGTGATCTGGAAAAAAAAATTGGGAGTCCCTAGCCCAGAAGTAGTGGTTAAGGTCATAGGTTTGAATGAAATCATACAGGGAGAATGAACAGAGTAAGAATGGTAGAGAGGCCATTCTCAAAGCTCATTCCTCACCATAGTTTTTCTTGCCATCTATAATGAACTTCCTGTAATTCCATGAATATTCTATGTTCGGCTGCATCTCAACACCCCAGCACATGCCCTACCAGAAATGCTCTTCTACCTTTCCCGTATTTCAAGACTCAGTGTCATCTCTTTAATGGCTTCCCTCACATGCCCCCCCTAAAATTTTGATGCTCTCATAATACCCTGTTATTACTTCTACCATAGCACTGATCATATTATATTGTAATTGTTTGTCTCTCTTTCCTACTAGACTCAGTTCCCTAAGCACAGAGGCCCCATCTTATTCATCTTTGTGTTCTCAGCACCTAGAACAATGTGTGACACATAAAAGGAACTCAATAAAAGTTTTTAGAATAAATGAAGCACATCCAGGGAAATAGTTACCCTCTGTTTACCTGGGGCTGCTTCCTGAGCACAGCTCTAGTGGCAGTCTCACCAATATACAAACAATACCTCTTCTCATAGTAGGCAAAAATTTCCGGCATAGGAGTCTTGGTCGACTCCAGACACAGCTGCTTTCCCTATAGTTTAGTGACCTCTCTGACATCCAGGCCAATCTATGAAAGCTTGTCTATCACACACATATATATATAAGCACACATGCGGTATCTCCTCAGGCCTGTGATGTTTGGGCAAGTTTATCCCGACATACCCTCTTATGCCCTTTGCCCTTCCTATCTCTAAACCCTGGGGGAGACAAATAAATACCTCCTCCCTGAATTCCTGATAAACATACTCCCTTTATACATATATTTTCTTTGCCTTGGGGCACAGACCCACCTCACCTCAGCTCAGGGAGGAAAGCAACAAATCACTGTATACTACCCCACTAAAGACCTGTTCACTCTCTCCATGTGCTTTCATTAGCCTCCCTACGAGTTAGCAGCCACTTCCCAAAGCCCCAGGGGAGCCTCACGTCATGGCCTGATATATGGACTCGATGCCATAGCGCATGGCAAATTCATCCACGATTTCTTGGGCAGTCTCATCAAAGTACACCTTCCATGCATCATCTCCTCGAGCCTCAGGGATCAGGACTCCTCCACTACCCTGAATGTCTGTGAGGTAATGGAAAAGGTTCTGCAGGAGACACAGCAAAGGAAAGAGTTAAATACATATTAAAAACAAAACCAAAAACTGGTGGTAAAGTCCAGGAGAATGTGAATAGGGTGGCAAAGAAATTCTGTCTTTCAAGTCATTGCTAGTTCCTCGTGTGGTCCCAGTAGGCTGCACTTACATTAGTGAAAGAGAACTAAGGCTGGGACTATTACTTGGGCTGTCTGGGGTAGCACAGTGAATAAAAAACAGGTCCCAGATCTTCAACCATTCAGCAATTCTATTTACTGACAAGGGCCCTTCCCAGCACAGCTTTCTGACACCCTATCTACCCAGGGCTGGCTCACCTCATGGAGACACGTATACTGCACATGATATGGTGCTACCTTCTCCTCCCCCTTGATCTCCACACTGATTTGTAGTCGGATAGCCCCTGAGACGGCTGATTTATCTGTCCTCTTCTCTAGGAAGAAAAGAAGAACCAGAGATTGACACCAATGCAACTACAGAGAACACAGACATCCCCCATCCTGGCTTAACCCAAGGAAAAAGAGGCACTGATGTAGGCGTTCACCTAATAGGGTGAACTTATTCCAGCGACCACATCATCCATAAATATCCCAAATATTCCCCATAGAAATTCTCTTATGCCATTAAGAGAATAGGGAGCTAAAACTATTAGAGGTGAGCATGAAGATTAAAGGGCCTTCTGAAATCTGAAGAATGTCCAGCCAGAGTGAGTTCCAGCCACTTCCACACTTCTATCCCTCATCTCCACACATGATCGGTTCTCTGCAGGTAAGGCAGACTCTGTATAGAGGAATGCTTTAGGGACTGAGTGATGGTTTTAGTAGATAGGATTTTCCCCCAGATATTCCATTCATACTATCATTTCTCAGCAACTTTCTCTGGTCCTGTTTCCTTACCCAAGTTGTACCAGACGTCCATCTCGCCACTCAGTGTCCGAACCTCAATAATGGTTTGGCCAAGGAAATCATCAGACTCACGCTTTAGCCGCTGCTTTACTCTCGACTTGATGTCATCATCCTCATCCCATACACGTACCTTGATGCGGTCAGAAGAGTTGTGGCATTCACTGTGAGAGAAATAGGCAAGCTCTGTTAGGGACCAACCAAGCAACACCCATTCTTAATACTTCCAATTCCCTCCCAAAGCTCCATCAACTGTACTTGAGGTCCTGCAGAGGAAGAGAAGGAGTCAGGGAACAGTGGTACTAAAGTTCCAAGTGAGTCAAACTACCCTAGTCAGCCTGGGTGGCTCTACATACCATTATCCAGTCCTTATTCCCTGACACAAAGAAGGGTGGGGGTTGGGAGGAAGAGTAATTAGGGACAATTCTGATTTCCACCAAAGGTGGACAAATGCTAAAGACCCCTAGGAAGCTAGTTCCCTCCCCAGAGTCAGTAAAGGTGTTAATGTTCATGATATGTCCATCTGGTCGTATCTGCTTAGCTTTCCATCCAGCTCCCCCATCTAAGTATGTGCTTGGTGAACTTCATTCTTTAAAACCCAGTTGAATTATTATTTTTTCCTATCATGTTTGCTTTGGAAAAGGGAGTTTGGCCAGGTACCCCACATGTTCTCCTTCCCTCACAGGTGCTTACGGGATCCTACTGCCTCATACGATGATAGAATTTGCTGCTTTTTTTCTCTGTGTTCTCATAGTATCTTTGCACATTCCATTAAAATACTATAGTATAACTACTGGTCTACTGAAAAATAGACAAATCGACAAGGAGCTTCTTGAAGGCAGATTGTCTTATACATTTTATTTTTTTTAAGATTTTATTTATTTATTAGAGAGACAGAGAGAAAGAACGGGCAGGAGGAGGGGTAGGGGGAGAGGGAGAAGCAAGCTCTCCACTGAGCAGGGAGCCCAGTGGGCACGCGATCCCGGGACACTGAGATCACGACCTGAGCTAAAGGCAGACACTTAACCAACTGAGCCACCCAGGTGCCCCATGTCTTGCACATTTTAGATACACAATATCATCTACAGTGTCTTCTACAGAATAGGGGTTTAAGAATGTATTTGTTATTCATGTCTTCTGCCCATTTACTGACTTATTTGTTTTTTGGGTGCTGAGTTTGAGAAGTTCTTTATAGATGTTGGATATCAACCCTTTGTCTGTAGTATCATTTGCAAAAATCTCCCATTCTGTGGGTTGCCTCTTTGTTTTGTTGACTGTTTCCTTTGCTGTGCAGAAGCTTTTTATCTTGATAAAGTCCCAAAAGTTCAATTTTGCTTTTGTTTCCCTTGCCTTTGGGGACGTGTCTTGAAAGAAGCTGCTGTGGCCAATGTCGAAGAGGTTACTGCGTATGTTCTCCTCTAGGAATTTTTTTCTTTTTTTTGAAGATTTTACTTATTTATTTGACAGAGGGAGAGAGAGAGCACAAGTAGGCAGACAGGCAGGCAGTGGGAGAGGGAGAAGCAGGCTCCCTGCTGAGCACAGAGCCCGATGCGGGGCTCGATCCCAGGACACTGGGATCATGACCTGAGCCGAAGGCAGACATTTAACCGACTGAGCCACCCAGGCGCCTCTCTCCTCTAGGATTTTGATGGATTCCTGTCTCACATTGAGGTCTTTCATCCATTTTGAGTTTATCTTTGTGTATGGTGTAAGAGAATGGTCGAGTGTCATTCTTCTGTATATAGCTGTCCAATTTTCCCATTTATTGAAGAGACTGTCTTTTTTCCATTGCGTGTTTTTTCCTGCTTTGTCAAAGATTACTTGACCATACAGTTGAGGGTCCATATCTGGGCTCTCTATTGTGTTCCTTTGGTCTATGTGTCTGTTTTTGTGCCAGTACCATGCTGTCTTGGTGATCACGGCTTTGTAATATAGCTTGAAATCAGGCAACGTGATGCCCCCAGCTTTCCCCCCTGCCCAACATTTCCTTGGCAATTCGGGGTCTTTTCTGATTCCATACAAATTTTAGGATTGTTTGTTCCAGCACTTTGAAAAATGTCACTGGAATTTTGATTGAGATGGCGCTGAAGGTATAGATTGCTCTGGGCAGCATAGACATTTTAACAATGTTTATTTTTCTGATCCATGAGCATGGCATATTTTTCCATCTTTTTGTGTCTTCTTCAATTTCTTTCATGAGTGTTCTGTAGTACCTAGAGTACAGATCCTCTACCTCTTTGGTTAGGTTTATTCCAAGGTATCTTATGGTTTTTGGTGCTATTGTAAATGGAATCGATTCTCTAATTTCTCTTTCTACAGTTAAAAAAAAACAAATCATCAAGTCAACAAATGGGCAGAAGACATGAACAGACACTTCTCCAAAGAAGACATACAAATGGCTAACAAACACATGAAAAAATGTTCATCATCATTAGCCATCAGGGAAAT